AATTTATTCACTGACCAAAGTTGTAGAATTAGGCTTGTGCAACTAATCTAAAAAATGGGCATAGTGTGACCTCACTGTGACCTGAGCACCTGACAGAGGGACAGCAGGTCCCAGTAGCTCCTGAAAATGCCGTGAAAACCTCTACCTTTTTAAGCTGAGATATATTTTTATTTCTTTATTTTGATTACTTGTACATATACATTTATATAATTATGCCTTATTTGAGTCTCTTGCTATTTTTTCTACTTGTGTGCCCCGGCAACGAGGGCCTTGGGTCCCGGCGCCAGCAGCGAGTACCTTGGGTCCCGCCCGCTCATTTGCATTTTGACTTGAAGTTGAATTCACCATAACTGTACTGCACACAGCTCTGTTGTTATTCATTCATTAGCCTATAGCAGTAAGATGGTGCCAGAGGAGAGTTGGGGCAGGATAGAATGAGCAGCTGAATCACAATAGGTCAGGTGTGTGATAATGTTTATGAAGACCTATCACTTGATTTGATTTCACCAGCACACTGTGCCCCAAGACATACTCCAGGGCTGTAATGTAAAGTCATGGGCAGAAGCAACGTACTGATATCAGATTTTCTCAAAACCTCAGGCTCTTCCATAGAACTCACTTTATTTGATTAATGTGTTTGGGCTTTGAGTTCACTGGGCCAGAGCGAAATAAATGGGCAAACACATTAATCAAATAAAGTGATATGAGCACATTTAACATGAAAACAATATGTCTATACACATTCAATTTGAAACAAAATATTAAACATATAGCCTAATACAAAATAACAACTTTATACATTTTTTATCTAGGTCAAGTTAGGGCGTGCGGCGCACTAGCGCCCTCTATTGACCAGACACCACTGAGCTACTGTGTCCAAGTAATTTCCCTTGTGGATCAATAAGGTTTGTCTAAGTCTAAGTTTAAAAGGTCCAATAAATACAGAGACATGAACCATAAACCAGGTCAACAAATTTACCATCTGACAGTAACAGCGAACTCCACCTGAGGCTCTGACCTGACTTTGCTCAGGTCAGACCAGAGGGGACTCTGCAGTGCTGATGTCAGTGAAGTCCTGAGCCAAACATCGTGGTGATTGGTGCCTTCATGGAGCAGTCTGAGGACATGTATTGGCTCTCACCAGGGCTCCCCTCGTCACTGTCAAAGGATGAGGACATCTACAGGTACAGCTCATACTGTCACTCCTCCATCCTTCCTCCTCCATCCTTCCACCCCTCCATTCCTCCTCTGCTTCTCCACACTTCTACACATCCACTATTCGCTACTCCAATCCACCCCTCCCCCACTTCTCCACTCCTTTACTCTTCTCCTTCTCCTCCTCCACTCCTCTACACCTCCACCTCTCCATGCACTGCACAGGATGGAAGAAACGAGGGAGGGAGAGAAGCGAGTAAAATAAGAGAGACCATTAAAACTTTACGCAGACACACTGGCTGAAACAGGGATCAATAGCCCGGGTTGGGGCTAACCACTCTGCCGCACAGAGCCTGTCACAGCCTGTGACTGTGGAGGCCTGCACCTGAACACATTAAAGTAGTGTTTGTGTGTAAACTTTGTGTATAAACTTTGTGTGTAAACTTTGTGTGTGGGCTGTGTCCTGAAGGTCCTCTGCCTGCACACCAGCTCATTACACCCACTTCCACACTTTAGTTTAACGAACTCATATTAGACTCTTTTCTGAATGATGTTCTAATGTGGTTTCCTCATCACACACACACCTGGAGTTGTGTTTTGTTTCATTCACACATGTTTAACACACAAACCTGCACATTTAGCACGAGTTCTTCTTCCTTGTGATATCATGTGGTGATACAGGAAGTGCTCCATTGTGTTTTTTAACTCCACATACCTTCACTAGAATCATTTGGATGGTTTCAGCCCTTGGAATTGCCGATCTCTACTGAACTAAAAGGTAAAAGGAGCTGTTCACTTGAAAACTACAGTTCCACATGACGCGGTGGAACAGAGTGTTTGGAGCTCTAGAGATGTAGACAGACTCATACTAAAGAGTTACTCATGTGAATGAAACAAAACACAACTCCAGCTGTTTTTGATTATACATTATTTAGAACATGACTTAAAGGTCACAAGAGTTAGTTTTGTGTGAAACACAATGATACAATTCAGTATATTTAAGAGCCTATGCAGTTTGAGGGCTTTTTATACAACTTTGCACATGATAATATTGATTTTAAACCAGTGTGCAGATAAACAGTGTGCCCTGAGGGAGCCAAGTGCATCTTGGAAAAAAACTCCCATTTGAGTTAACTGATTCACATTGTCAGCTGATGTAGTCATGGGCCATTTCAGGAGAGTCCAGAGAATGTTTCAGAGGCAAAACACACCCACCTGAGCAGTATGGCAAAGGTCCACACACACACTGACTGTGTGCACACTTCTTGCTCCAGTAAGAGCCATTTGAGAATATTTGAGCATCACTTTGACATTGCTCCATGGGGTTTGACAAAAATTGATTACCAAATGTATATACGCAGGTTTAAATTAGACATCTTAATTGTGTGTGCCTGTGGATCATGATGTTATCATTTGGATATTTTAAAATCACAATAGTCATCTAAACGACTTCAGTAAAGAAACAAGAGCACCAACTCCTGTGTTAGAGAACTGTGTGGCTCAATGGGAGCTGAGGTAAACGTGATCACAGATTGTTACCTTGTTCACTTGTATGTAAAAGCATCAGGTGAATTTCAAGGTGTCTCATGGTCTCTGTCCTCACACTGAGAAAATGGGACTGTGGATCGGTGGGAGGGGCTGGGGCCCACACATCACACTGTGACTGGATGTGGATTTATTATTAGGTACAACACTTTGACTTTGAGACTCTGTCAAGGCCCCACACTGGATGTGTTTTCAGGTGGATATAATCAGGCGTGCTTATTCTGGCACTAAAACTCAGCACGGTCAGTCACTCACTCAGACTGGGTCGGGCTTCACGTTCACAAAGAGCTGAGCTGTTAAGAGATCAAGAGATGAATGCACCAAAGTGTAGGCCTTTTTAAAATCAAATACCCAGGGTCAGAGATGGCTTTACCTCTGTCTATGTGTGCTGTGTGCACCACAAAAAGCACAGTTTAGGAGCATTTGGAGACAAAAGTGGACGAGCCAGAATGAGGTGAATAGAGAGACTCAAAGAGTGAGAGATACAGGACTACAGTCAGTGTACTATACTCCATACACAAGTCAAAGTCTAAATCACATTTTAAATCATAGTTGACAGTGCATTTACATTTCGGGGAGTATTTGAACTCACATTAAGACTGCCAAAATATTTCATATATTGGGATGATAATACAATAATAATACATACTTTTAAAACAGACCTACAGTATCAACATTTCGGAGCTTCCTTTTCTCACTAACCCTCTGAATTTGGATTTGGAGTGATTTGTAAATGTTTGAGCAATCTTTAATTGCTTATTTTCAAGATGCCATTTTGCTGATCTCCCCCTATTTTCAGCACTTCCTTTTCCAGTTTTATGTTCTTAACTGTGATCCACATATGATTTGGCAGTGTCATGTAGTCATTTTGGTATGAATTTAAAAAATCTGCTGCTCACTATTGTGATGTGCAGCATTCCATAGGATACGAGTCTTGTGATCACAATTACGCCAACGTCAGCTCCCATTGGGCACGAAAGTTTTCTAAAACAGAAGCCAACTTTTTTCTTTTTTTTCCTTTTAGATCAATTCTGTGTTTTAAAATGTTATAAAATAATGATTCGTGAGGGTTAAAAATGATAACTGTAGAGCAGACACACTCGTCTTATCTTCTTTAAGTAGTCACATTACACTGTTGAAATGAAAAAGTCTCACCAAAATACTGAATGTGATCATAGATGAATCCTCCAGCAGTAGAGGAATCAGAGTGTCACTATCACAGTTCAATAGAGTTTTCACTCACCAACCTTCATGAAAAAAACAATGAACAGACAGAACGATCTCATCTTATATTTAGCCTCTATTGAACACACTGAAAGTACACCGACTCATTCTAAATTGATCTACACAGATGCACAACTACCTGCACACAAAAATATATGGTATGAATGTAGTCCTATACGTCCTGTAATCCTGGGGGGGGGGGCTGTATGGATCACAGTGGGAGCAGAGCTGTTGGAGCTTGTTGATTACAAAGTCTCAGCACAAATAATTAAAACCTGCAATCAATCCAATCACTACAACTGCTGCCTGCCATGAGTAAAGCAGCCCACATTTTGTTAAAGGACTTTCTTTATCGTGTTTATTGTCTGTAATCCCTGCAAAAGACCATTCATTCTGTCATCTTAAAGACTCTACATTAAACTCGTTGTGGTGAATAATTAGGATGTTCAGAATGCATAAGGGAAGAGAAAAAGAACTCTGGACCATGGCAAACTGGTTTAAATGAACTAATTCTGTTTTTCACATTCTTAACATGATCCGATACAGCCCATTGGAGAAGAGATACTCCTTACAGTGAACAACTAGTGTGTGATTTTTTTTTTACCTATTAGCATTAAGCTTTCTTTTGTGATTTTATAAAACAGAAAAGAGTCCAAAGCCAGAGTATAAAAAGTCTAACTTAACCCTCCCCACAGGACTACAGATGAGCACAGCCCCATGCTTCCTGGAGGAGTCCTGCTGAGAGCCAATCAGAGGCCCACGGCTTTAATAAAGGTGAGTGACGATCTCTGGTTCTCAAATGCACGGGACAATACAGCAGAGAGTGGAGAAGAAAGTCCTACTCTGAAATGAAGACCATCACTCAAATGAAAATCACCATTTTACTTAAGGCTGTGACCCACTCAGGATTGCATTTGAACTTATTTTAATTCATACTTTTTCAAAATCAACATGAAACCTGTTCAGATCTGTCTTCTTCTTTTATTTTCTAATGCTGAAGGCCTTTAGTCATTTAATTGATTAATTGGCCGGTAGCTCATCGATCTTGGTCTTAGTGTAACCAGGGTAAAGTTCAATTCCCTTATCCAGATCCAACCCAGGTTTTCCCCTCTCCACATGATTTGTCACCACCCATCACACCGCCCATTTCACCATTTATCCAATCACACATCCCCAATCAGAGTATATAAGGTCCCCTGACTTCTCTCTCCTCAGTTGTGTGGGAGAGGAGCCAGGGGACAGAGCTTGAAGGTCAGTACATATACACTGTTTCATTTCAAATTCTCATGTTCCCATTTTTTAATTTCACCATTCACATCTTTTAGAACCAAACCCGGTATGCAACATTGTCACGTGTGCTTTCAATACACCAAAACACTGCTGAACTGGTAAGTTAGAAGTGAACCCTATTTATTGATGTATTTAATGGCTTTTGTTCTTGTGGCTTTGTATGCTAGTGCTAATGCTAGAGCTAGCATGCTAATGCTAAGGTCAGCCATTTTGTCAGGGCCGTATGTCTTGCTTTATGTAGCATATGTCCATGTTAGCTTAGCATGAGCATGCTAACAGCTAGCATGCTAATGCTAACATGTGCTCCACATGATTAGTTGTAATCTTGTAACTGATTCACTTATGAATTCTTGTAATGTTAATGTCAATGCTAACGCTAACTGAAAATATGTTCTAAGAGGCCTTTTGTTAATGTGCACACAGGCCAGGTGCCCAAACTTGGGTTCAAATTGATGGCGAGCTAGGAACTGTCCTTTGAGAGCTTCGGTCTGGTAGGAGGCTAATCGCCTATCCTCGCTCTCCCACCTACTCCAGCTACCTCCACTACATAACTATTCAATCAACCGCGCTTTATGGACATCTTACAACCTCAAATAATAATACTGGACTTTAAAGTAGTTGGACTCTGTTTACACCCTGGGCAACCAGACCCAGTTCACAAGGACATTTAACTGAGTTTTTTGATTTTTGTTGCTGCAGCTGTTATATATTTTGTTGTCTCACTTACTTCCTGTATAATACACTTTCATTTTCCACTAATCCCATGCCTCAATTTACTGCCCCTGCCCTCCAGTAGCCTTACTTAGAATCTTCTGATCATTCAACCTTGAATAGAGACAGACTGGACAAAGAGACACTGAGCACTCTCTTAAAGGTAAAAAATGTCTCTGGGGGAGTTTGTAATTTATTTAAATTGCATAATTTGAGGAAAGCAATCAAAATGAGCTCTGCATACTGGCCCAAAAATATGGGCAGAGCTCATCGGCCACCGGTTTCTCTGGATTCTAAACAATCTTTACCTTATCAGTCATGAAAAAAAAAACATATTGGTCAGATACAGAGATACCACGTCCCCTTTTTAGTCGACCAATCAATGGGCAGCACATGTCTTAAGTCTACCAAGAGTTTTATTAGTACAGTACAGTACTACAGACCTATTATTTTGTGTGCTCTGTGGTCCATCCGTCCATCAGTGAAAGGCTGACCTGAGGACAGTGGTCAGAAGCCCTCACACAGTCTAGACTCTACAGGAGCTGTCACCAGGAAACAGCTGCTAACAGTTTATTGACTGGACAACAAGAGGATCGATGGAGCTCTGACAGGTTCAACAACAGCCTGACCACAAGCTCTTCTGAGAGAGCCAGAGAAGAGCCACGGCACAGCCACGGCCTTTCAGAGCTCCTACATTACACTCGATGGATTCTTGTGAGCTTTTATGCCATACCTCCTCCAAAACACACCTGCAGTTGTGTTTTGTTCCATTCACACGTTTGAGTAAGCCTTTATTATTAGTTGGTCTACATCTCCGAAGCTGAATATTGCTCTGTTTCACCTTGTGATGTCATGAAGTGTTGGTTTTCAAGCTGTTGTCATTTATTTTGGCCCAGAAGGGAAACAGTTAATGCAGTGTTCTCCACAGATGCAGTGACTAAACAGCTCCATGGAACCTCACAGCTGAAATATCTGAACAGAGGTGGGTTTTATCTTTCAGTTACTTTTGATTTTCCGTTGAATGTTTAAGCACAGGAGTGTGGGAGGAGCTGCGGTCTGTGCTGCTGCTGCTGCTGCTGGAGATGACACACGTGAACGGAGTGTGGGGAGAATTCTGGGGAAATCCCTAGTTTGTAATTATCTGTCATGTTTTATTACATTATAAAATGCAGTATTCAGAGTATTCACAGTGCAGTACTCTGATTGGCCCATGTAATAGAATACATTACAAGTGCAAGTTACTGGACCAAGGAAATATTATTTAATGACAAGTTTTGCAAATATAACCCATTAGATTATTGTGTTACCTAAAAGTAATCTGATTACATCAATGACTAAGTAATGCATTACTGCCCCACATGCACTCTGGACAGACATGGCCCTGTACAGCACACAGAACTAGCACAAGCATTAGGCAGTACAGTTCCTCGATCTCCACTGAGTGACGTGCACAGGTTTCACTGCTCATTTGACTAAATATTATGAACAGAACTCAATTACAACAGATTATTTCTAATTATATAATCCACATACAGCAATGGGAAGAATACTTTGAAAATGTAATTTTTATTATATTTATTCTTATCCATGGTCCATCAGAGGTTCTAGAATTTGATGGCGTGATCATCTGAGATGGAGGGCAGGGCTCTACAGAACTCGATAGGAGATTCACATCCACAAAACCTTCTCAGAATTTGTTTGGGATATGCTCCACAAACAATAATCTTATACTTATTATAAATTAATATTAATGTTATGTTTTAAAGCCCTTTCAGTTGAAACACTCACATCCTTTGAAGCGATTGTGAAAAAAACATTTTCCTTTAGTTTATTTCTCCTGATAGAGAAGAAGCTGAACTTTGTATTCTTAAGAGTTCATCAAAATTTATCTTCTGAACATGTCATGTGCATGTATTCACTGCTGAGCACCAACACTGTCCAGAGAACAAACACAACAGCTGCTAGCAGACCTCTTTTGCAAAATGGACTTTTCAGAGCTTTTACCCATTTTATATTTGTTTCCTCTCACCATTTGATCACTCAGAGTTGGAGTGATTCGGCACCGCAGTTTTCCAGCGCAGCAGGCCTGTTCCTTTTATTTAGTTGCTTTAGATATATATTGTGATTTAAAAGGTGGAAATTACAATCTATGACACCTGTGGATCTTTATGTTATAACTACAGCAGACGCAAGAACAATAAGTCTTTGATATCACTGGCAGAATGTTCTGTAACCGCTTTTAACACCAGCTCCTCAGCTGAATTATGATTGTGATCCTTTACACATTTCCTGTCCTCAGTGAAGGATACTTGGAGCAAAAACACAAGAAAAATCAATAGCTTTCAGCCAAAGACTTCATTATCAGTCTGGATGGACACACTGCTTCTGTCAAAAACTGTTCTGAAAAGTGAAAATGGCGTCATAATAATAATAATAAAGTCCCCTTAAAGCTCCTCACAGCTCCTCTGGCCTCTCATCAGCACTGGGCCTGTGCATAGCTCCACGCTCTGGTGTGTACGCCCCGCCACCATCCCCACAGCCCAGTGCCTTTAGTGGGCTGCACTTACTCCAAATTGCCCTCAATCAAAGTAATGTGGGTCATCTGGAGCTCTCAGCAAGACCTCTAGACTGTGTGTACTATGTGTACTTTGTGTACTGTGTACCACAGTCTCCCCTGGTCCTGTGTAAACTGAGTACTAAGAGTACCTCAGTGTCCTCTGGTCCTGTGTGTACTGTGTAAACTGTGAGTACTAAGAGTACCTCAGTGTCCTCTGGTCCTGTGTGTACTGTGTATACTGTGTATACTGTGAGTACTAAGAGTACCTCAGTGTCCTCTGGTCCTGTGTGTACTGTGTATACTGTGTATACTGTGAGTACTAAGAGTACGTCAGTGTCCTCTGGTCCTGCTCTGACAGGAGACATGGAGCATAGCCAGGCCTCAGGAGAAGCTTTTGTACGACCGAGACGTCTGACAAATGACCACAGGAAGTCCTTTTATGGTCGCGGACTGTCTGACCAAAGCAAACTGCAGACTGAGCTTTAAAGTGGAACTCAACATGATCTGCTTTTGAGACTTCACTGTGTATGTGGTGTTTGCAAAGGACTGTTCCTAGTCATTTTAGTGCAAACAAGGCTCATGTTAAACAAAGTGCACTGCTGTGCTGTACTGTGGGCACTCCCCGCCAGCTCAGTCCTTCTTATCTTCCAGTCCAGGATCAGCTCAGTTCATTCTCTTTGAACTGTGGATACACCCACCACCTCCTGAATCTTCCCTTCAGTTTTCCAGGTGTAAGGGTCTGACACCTGCTCATTAAGAATGCACCGTCCATCCAGCTTTTCCAGCTCTGATACTGATATCGATACTTAAGCTTTAAGTATGTGCTGATACTTAATATTAACCAAAACCAGTGTAGGGACTATCTGTTCTGTTATTTATCCTGCAACTAACTACTGTACAGCTTTGTATGAAGTGAAGTTCAAAGCTTTGCCTGAAATGTTCTTCAGTAGGTCTTTTTATTACATCACCTCTATGGCGCTCCACCACCACTAGAAAAGTTACAAGGTGTGCCTTTAAATCAAGACTCACACACCCTGGAGCTGTGATCTCCTGCTCATGGGGGTCTGGGGTTAGGCCCCTCCAGCATGTGCTATGTCTTTCCTGGGGCCTCTTCCCACTGGTACAGCCAGGGGCCAGAGCAGGCCCAGAAGCCTCAGCCTTAGCTGATGAGGTGGAGCAGCAGCTCTACTCCAAGCTCCTTTCTCTAAGGCAATGCCCAGTCACTCATTTCTATCACTCACATCTTGTCTTTTCTGTCACATATACATGAGTAAACTAGTACTGTGTCTATGTTGAGTATTGTATAAGTGTGTGCCCACAGATCTCCTCTCCACAGGGCGACCTCTGTCTCAGACCATCATCTCATCAAAGGTCAATTCTGCTTTGCCTTTAATCACAATTCTAATGTTGATTTATTCTTAATTACAAACTACTACTGGATATGCAGTAATTGTGGTGTTTTGGTTTTTAAGATGATTATCCAAACACAAACCCGTAGTGTCACTCCCTAAACCCCAGCACCTCCAGCCTATCATGAGTCAGTGCTAGTGCAGCATCTGCAGCTCAGGGTAGGACTTCTGGAGGTTCTGAGGCAGAGCTCCTTTTCCTGAATACTTCTGTGTTTTTTGTTGAGGAGTCTTCTCAGTTGCTTTGACACAGACACAGAGTTGGTCTGAAGGATTAATTGAAATCATAAAAGCGTGTTATTCTTGATTAGTTTAGCAGTTCATAGTTCAGTCTTCTCTCAAATGTCAATGGTTCTGGGTGGGTTTCAAATGCGCACTGCCAACTCAATTTGAAGTTTAACAAATATTATAAATCAAAGTTAGAAATGGTTTGTATAGAACTGTCTGTGTCCTAAACCAGTGATTCTTAACTTAGGGCTGGGGTACATAGGGCTGGGGTACATAGGGCTGGGGTACATAGGGCTGGGGTACATAGGGAGCCCTCTTGAGGGCTGCACAGTCAGAAGAATGTAATACATTTAATATAAATACTAGGCTCCATGAAGACAGCAGCTAGTGTACCCATCACCAGAAAAGGGAGCAGTGCAGGATCATTTAAACCAGGAGTGTCAAACTCATTTTGTTCCGGGGGCCGTATCCAACCTACTTTGATCCCAAAGGGGCCGGGTCAGAAAACTAATGGTATATAAACCCCAAAAATAACAATAAGTTCAAATATTTGTGCAGAGAAACACAAATTTATTACAGAAATCTTTTTTAATTGACGAACTCTTTCTTTTACAAAATATTATGAACAACCTGAAACTTTAAGAAAAATACAATGTCAACA